TCAATGAAGATTTAAAATCTGTGTACAGGGTATTTGATTATATTTGGCACCATACCTACAGCCTTTACTATTTAAGATAGAAAAAAATTTTAAATACAAAACTTGACAGTTTTTTTCTATATTTTCTTTTGACAATATCAGAAAAAACAAAATCGCATCGGAAAAATGGTGAAACGTAGGCAACTTCAACTTTTTTCAATGGAACACTCTGTATATTATGCGATAAAATTAAAGATTTTTTTTTCCTGATTCCAAATATATATATATATATATATTGAGCTAGGGTTTCCATACGTCCATGTTTGGGTTTTTAGGGTGTCCGGGGAAGTCCGGCCGGAATTCGGAACAACATCCGGAAAACTCGGAGTGTGTGAGAACAGACCGAAAATTACCTGTCCTACATTTAAAACCGACGAAAAAATCAACTTACTAGCACAGCCTGAATTCCATCGTGGTCTGCGGGTGACGTCATCACTATAAGCTACTAGTAGTGACGTCATTCGCAGGCCCAGAATTGAATGTTGAGGGAGTTAGGCGAGAATGACACAGTTGACGCATCACATAACCCAGTACAGCATAATTAGATTATCTTCGCGAAAAATTGCCTACTAGTGCGTGAAATAATGTCAATGACAGATGTCGACAATGTAATTTTTTTCTAGTAAATTTCTCCACTTTACGCACTAGTGCGTAAAGTATTTGTCTAAATTTATTGTTTTACATATATTTTATTGGTACTAGAAATTTTTTTGTATAATATGCAATACGTGTAGCTATTTCGGCGAAGTCCGGATTTTTTGACTCCTTTGTCCTGAATTCCGAAATTTTTTTATGGAAACCCTATATTGAGCACATTTGAGTGAGCCGTTTTTGAAATATTTTAGCTTAAATTTGCAAAGAAATTTCATAAGGATGTCAAGACATTTAAATCTTCATAAAATTCCTTTGGATTTTATTTAAAATTTAAGCTAAGATATATCAAAAACGACTTACTCAAATATGATCAGTATATACAGGGTGTATATTTTAAGTGATACCACTATTGCTATATCCGAAACGGTAAGAGCTACAGGGTCGGTTAAATTAGAAAAAAGTTGCCTTGTTTGATGCCCATTTAAGACTCGTTTACAGTATTGCCAAATTTCTTTTAGTTTATGAAATACAGGGTGATTTCTAAGAAACGTCCAAAAATATTTCATCATTTATTTCGAACACTATTGATTTTTGAGACACAATTTAAATTTGAAAATTTTATAATTTTTTTCGCTCTACAACACGGCATCTTCAAATTTTAAATCCGACGTTTCGTGATCGAGATACCATCATCAACTTCATTTTTTTAAATACGGACCTGGATTTTTTATGTCATTTTTAGGAAGCGCCCTTAATTCTCTTTCCAAAAATGACATAAAAAATCCAGGTCCGTATTTAAAAAAATGAAGTTGATGATGGTATCTCGATCACGAAACGTCGGATTCAAAATTTGAAGATGCCATGTTGTAGAGCGAAAAAAATTATAAAACTTTCAAATTTAAATTGTATCCCGAATATCAATAGTTTTCAAAATAATTGACGAAATAATTTCAGGCCTTTTTTATAAATCGCCCTGTATTTCATAAACTAAAAGGACTTTGGCAACACTGTAAACAAGTCTTTAATGAGCATCAAAAAAGGCAACTTTTTTCTAATTTAACCGACCTCGAAGCTCTTACCGTTTCGGATATAGCCATAGTGGTATCACTTAAAATATACACCCTGTATATATTTGGAATCAGGAAGAAAAGTTCTTTAATTTTATTGCATAATATACAGGGTGTTCCATTTGAAAAAGTAGAAGTTGCCTACGTTTCTCCATTTTCCGATGCGATTTTGTTTTTTCTGATACTGTCAAAAGAAAATATAGAAAAAAACTGTCAAGTTTTGTATTTAAAATTTTTTTCTATTTTAAATAGTAAAGGCTGTAGATATGGTGCCAAATATAATCAAATACCCGTTTTAAGTAGTTAACCACCCCTGGAACAGACCTATAGATAGACGTTACTATCGAATTGTGGGCTCTGATTTCCGGCACTGGTTCTGTAGTTGTGCTCGCGAAGCAAAAGATGTCGCGAGCGTCTGCTGACAGATGCCTATTTGATTGTCAGATTGACAGTGCACAATTATTGCTTGAATTAAGCAATCTACTGACCTGTCAAAAACGAAATTCAATATGGAAGTTCGGGTCAAGCATCGGGTCAAGCACTGTGTTGTTTATTCTGTATGTCATTGATTCTGTCACATTCTGAACAAACGTCAAGATTTGAATTATCGGATTCTGTGTTTTTTTGTGTGTTTAGGTATTGTGTTAATTAAAATGCCAGCGATTTGCATCGTAATTAGGTGTAGAAGTCGAGGTAACAGGGATAATGTGAATTTCATTCAGTTCCTGCTATTTTAAATCATTGGCTTTTGATCTACAAATATAAATTATCAAAACAACGCAGGGCTTTATGGATTGCTGCAATTAAAAGAAAGGATCTAACAGAGGTTCGATTTTCCCCTAATAATAATACCTTGAGATATTAACTCTCCATCTCAGAATTTATTAATAAATTAAAAAATACGTAGAAACACTATAAAATTCACTTTGAAAACAACAGGGGCTAGAACACTAAAAAATACGTAGAAATACTATAAAATTCACAATGACCAAAACCAATGAAAAATACGTAGAAACACCAAAGACTATAAAATTCACTTCGAAAGCAACAAGGGCCAGAACACAAATGTGCACAAATGCTCTCCTTATGAACGTTACCGGCTTGTCACCCTTGTCACGGCAATATTTGACCCGAACGGCCATTATAAAATCACGTGATTGAGATTGCCTAATTGCTAAAGTTTGTTTTTTATTTAAAGATAATTCCCCAAGTCAAAAATTTAGTTATTAGACACTTTAAGTTAGACAAAATACGTTAACGCTAACGTAAGATTTGACAGCTGCGCATGCGCAGTTTCTTTTCACCAAAAATAGCGTGTTACGTGTCACGTTATTTAGCGGGTCTTTACGTGTACCTTATCCGTAAACGTTCGTTAAACCGAGTAGTCCCGAAAGCCAGATTACCGGTGTCGACCTTTGCCGAATGTATTTTCACTTTAAAAAAAAGTTGTCACATAATTCAAAATAATTAAAATACAAAAAATTATTTCTAATTTGTCCTTTTCACAACAAAATTTAAAGGTTAGGTTATGATTGTGAGATATAGCGTTAACGTTTACGTGAAAATTTAACTTAAACTGGTTTGTGAGCACCGACACGGTCACTCGACGCTATAGTAAAAAATAGGGTTTACGTTTAAAGATTACGTTAACGTATTTGGTCCAACTTAGGCCCAGTTAGTTGTACAATCTTGGTTCAAATCAGAGTTCAGCTAAACTCGACTGGTACTTGAACTTCCCCATTTAAAATACATTGCTGTCAGCTATTAATCAAATTCTATCAATTTTGACAGCAATGCATTTCAAATGGGGAAGTTCAAGTACCAGTAGAGTTTAGCTGAACTCTGATTTGAACCAAGATTGTACAACTGGGCCTTTTAAAGTGTCTACTATGTTGGCAGCACAAGCCTTTTCCACATAAAAAATTTGAAAGCATTGACAATTTTACATTAGTTCTTTTCAGGTGGCTTCGGTTTAACTAACCGGGTTACAAAACGGTTAGACAAATGACATACCGTTTTCTAACCCGATTACAAAGTGACGTGATGGAGACCTACCACTCGAATTTGAGCGGTATGTTGCGGTTTGTTAAACCGGAGCCACGTGAAAAGGGTTATTGTATTGCCAACAAAATGTCATTTTGAGTTTTATCTTTTTTAAAAAAAAAAAACAGATTTTACACAATTTCAATGTGGAAAACTACACATTTAAAAATTGGTCTGTAACAACCCTGATGGAAAATGAAGATGACAGAAAGGCAAAAAGAAAATGTTATTTTTATTATTTTGCAACAGATTTTTTACATTAGGCAATTCAAACCACGTGACTTTCAAGATGGCGTGGCGGCCACACATGGGCCAAAAAACCCAAAAAAATATCTAGATTCTGCCCGATTTATTATCAGTTTAGGTACCTAGTCAACAAATATTTTATTAAATAATCCAAATCAAAGTTGCAAGCAAAATAATTTGAAATACGCATAAAAACACATTTAAAACAAACTTGCTTGGCCGCCACGCCATATTGAATTTTCCTATCTGACAGATGGATTGAATTGCCTAATTCTCGATGTTTTTATCAATGACATAATAATATGACATAAATCTTATTTTGACATGACAACATTATGCGCTCTCTTCTTTTCTTGAACAACATTTGGCGTTAGTCTAACAACAATAATTCACAACAGAAATGGTCATGACAAATTTCAGAAAAATTTAAATTTCATATAAACAAAATACAGTTTCTATTTTTTTCATTGAGGTAGAATAAAAATTAAACGTGACAACGTCGCATTTGTCGCCGGCCGGCGCCACCACCACCACACACGCGCGATCGCAGCGCCACCGCGCGCCAAAGCCGCCGAACCGCGTCAGAAAAGCAGCATGGCAGCCTCCGCGACAACGCTTGCGCTTCCTTTTTTTTTTTTGAAAAAAAAAAACAAAATTCGCCGTAAATTTTCCATAGAAAAAGTCAACGTTAAAGTCGGGCTTCGGTTACGTGTTTTGTTTCGGTTTTATAGTGCACGTGTAGCTCTATTTAGCTCTATGTAAAAGGAGTAACCCCCCTCTTAGGCCGGATACGACGATGATACAAAATGGTGGAGCTACCGCGTGCTTTTTAATGCGACGTCAGGTTTGCCGCTTTTTTTTTTTTTGATTTTTTGACATTAATTTTTAATAAATTCTCACCTCTCAAAAAATTAAGTAAACGGTACACTCTATCCCTTATTACTGACCATGCCCCCAACAACCCACATAACATAACCTCAAAAAATCATAACAATTTATTTTATTTCACAGAAGCCCTGCTCAAGACCGATTTACTCGAAGACATACCAAACATTGCCGCACAAGCCCTAGAAAACTCAGAAAGAGTTCCCGCTCTGAAAGACGTCATCGGTGAATATCTGATTCCATTAGTGCTCAGAAATATAGGATGCTCAGACGCCGGAGTGGACAAAACGGCTCAGACTACCCTGGTGCAGCTCATACAGCGAGGTTACGTCACACAAACCCAAGCCGAAATCAAAATATGCCCCTCAATTTTGGCCCTTACGAAAATGGAAAGTCAGCATCAACTAGATGTCAACACTGGTGCTATTATGGTAAGAATAATTGCTACTGTATTTTTTCATTTATTGATAATGCTATTATAACCAATCAAATGCTATTGCTTTATGAAAGACATGGGTAGTGAGATGTTTTTTTTTAATTATTGTCTCACTACCTTGTCTTTCATGTAGCGGCTAGCACCAACTTCAACATTCAACACCCAGGAGGAAATACTAAATAAGTTTGCCATTGCTCTTCAAAGTTGGATGTTTTAGATAATTGTGAATTCTATCACAGCCAGCTTTGATGAGCAATGTTGGATTTCGGAAGCTCGAGAGACAGTGTGATGTTTTTTACCTGACATCGTCAACTTGGCTGTGAACTCTTGATTTTATACTTGATATCACAGCCACTTTGATGAGTTAGGTGGCAAACACGATCGCCCAATGGACCCTTTGGACCTTAGCTGACGGATGGATTTTAATTATACGTGTTTTATTGTTAATAATAATTGTTTTAGGTATTTTTATATGTATTTTGTTACTACATCAATTATTCCTTTATATTTGACTCTTCAAAACAGTACAGTAGTGTCACTATAATCCGGATCAATTTAAACCAGACCAATTCGGATTACTAAGGCATTTTAAATTCCGCTTTAAAAACTATTTTGAAAAAATAACATGCTGTATTTAAGCAAAAAAAGCTTTATTTTCACCATTTGAATTTTGTCCACCTTCTTCTACATTTTTCTGCACTGTTTGGAAGAAGTTGTTTGATTTTCATTGAAAAGCCCACACACCGTCAGGAAGGACGCTGTGTATTGAATGATGCAAATAGACATGTAATAAAAACTACCTATCCACTTGAAAGCAGTTACAAAACGATGCTTTTATTTTCAAGAGTCATGTAAATGAATTCGGATTACTGAATCAAGTAAATTACAGAGTACATCAAGGGAACCAAAATGCGATGCGGATTACAGAAGCATACGGATTATCGCGGGTACGGATTATCGCGACACT